GAAAAACATTCCCCACAGCATGATGCTGCCACCACCATGCTTTACCTTAGGGATGGTGCCAGGTTTCCTCCAGACGTGACGCTTGGCATTCTGTGGTCCTCTGTAGCTCAATTGGTAGAGCATGGCGCTTGTAATGCCAGGGTATAGGGTTCGATCCCCGGGACCACCCATATGTAAAATATTTATGCGCACATGACTGTAAGTCGCTTTGGATAAAAGCATCTGCTAAATGGCATATTATTATTATTCAGGCCAAAGTGTTCAATCTTGGTTTCATCAGACCAGAGAATCTTGTTTCTCATGGTCTGAGAGTCCTTTAGGTGCCTTTTGGCAAACTCCAAGCGGGCTGTCATGTGCCTTTTACTGAGGAGTGGCTTCAGTCTGGCCACTCTACCCCAAATACCTGATTGGTGGAGTGCTGCAGAAATGGTTGTCCTTCTGGAAGGTTCTCCCATCTCCACAGAGGAACTTTGGAGCTCTGTTAGAATGACCATCGGGTTCTTGGTCACCTCCCAGACCAAGGCCCTTCTCCCCCAATTGCGCAGTTTAGCCTGGCAGCCAGCTCTAGGAAGTCTTGGTGGTTCCAAACTTCTTCCAATTAAGTATGATGGTACCCTTTCCCAGATCTGCTCCTCAACAAAATCCTGTCTCGGAGCTCTACGGACAATTCCTTCGACTTCATGGCTTGGTTTTTGCTCTGACATGCATTGTCAACTGTGGGACCTTATACAGTGGGGAAAAAAAGTATTTAGTCAGCCACCAAGAGAGGCCTGTAATTTTCATCATAGGTACACGTCAACTATGACAGACAAAATGAGAAAAAATAAAACAGGAAATCACATTGTAGGATTTTTAATGAATTTATTTGCAAATTATGGTGGAAAATAAGTATTTGGTCAATAACAAAAGTTTCTCATTTCTCAGTTTCTACTTTGTTATATACCCTTTGTTGGCAATGACACAGGTCAAACGTTTTCTGTAAGTCTTCACAAGGTTTTCACACACTGTTGCTGGTATTTTGGCCCATTCCTCCATGCAGATCTCCTCTAGAGCAGTGATGTTTTGGGGCTGTCGCTGGGCAACACAGACTTTCAACTCCCTCCAAAGATTATCTATGGGGTTGAGATCTGGAGACTGGCTAGGCCACTCCAGGACCTTGAAATGCTTCTTACGAAGCCACTCCTTCGTTGCCCGGGCGGTGTGTTTGGGATCATTGTCATGCTGAAAGACCCAGCCACGTTTCATCTTCAATGCCCTTGCTGATGGAAGGAGGTTTTCACTCAAAATCTCACGATACATGGCCCCCTTCATTCTTTCCTTTACACGGATCAGTCGTCCTGGTCCCTTTGCAGAAAAACAGCCCCAAAGCATGATGTTTCCACCCCCATGCTTCACAGTAGGTATGGTGTTCTTTGGATGCAACTCAGCATTCTTTGTCCTCCAAACACGACGAGTTGAGTTTTTACCAAAAGGTTATATTTTGGTTTCATCTGACCATATGACATTCTCCCAATCCTCTTCTGGATCATCCAAATGCACTCTAGCAAACTTCAGACGGGCCTGGACATGTACTGGCTTAAGCAGGGGGAAACGTCTGGCACTGCAGGATTTGAGTCCCTGGCGGCGTAGTGTGTTACTGATGGTAGGCTTTGTTACTTTGGTCCCAGCTCTCTGCAGGTCATTCACTAGGTCCCCCCGTGTGGTTCTGGGATTTTTGCTCACCGTTCTTGTGATCATTTTGACCCCACAGGGTGAGATCTTGCGTGGAGCCCCAGATCGAGGGAGATTATCAGTGGTCTTGTATGTCTTCCATTTCCTAATAATTGCTCCCACAGTTGATTTCTTCAAACCAAGCTGCTTACCTATTGCAGATTCAGTCTTCCCAGCCTGGTGCAGGTCTACAATTTTGTTTCTGGTGTCCTTTGACAGCTCTTTGGTCTTGGCCATAGTGGAGTTTGGAGTGTGACTGTTTGAGGTTGTGGACAGGTGTCTTTTATACTGATAACAAGTTCAAACAGGTGCCATTAATACAGGTAACGAGTGGAGGACAGAGGAGCCTCTTAAAGAAGAAGTTACAGGTCTGTGAGAGCCAGAAATCTTGCTTGTTTGTAGGTGACCAAATACTTATTTTCCACCATAATTTGCAAATAAATTCATAAAAATCCTACAATGTGATTTTCTGGAAAAAAAAATCTCAATTTGTCTGTCATAGTTGACGTGTACCTATGATGAAAATTACAGGCCTCTCTCATCTTTTTAAGTGGGAGACCTTGCACAATTGGTGGCTGACTAAATACTTTTTTCCCCACTGTATAGACAGGTGTGTGCCTTTCCAAATCATGTCCAATCAACTGAACTTACCACAGGTGGACTCCAATCAAGTTGTAGAAACATCTAGGATGAAATTGCCAGATCTTTAGACATTAAGGAAAATGTGTTTATTAATATGTACTTGTAACTTTCAAAAAGGACAAAACACCAATGGAAATGCATTTTTTCTTCATTTTTATTGCACTTACAGCTTTGTCCATAATATATTATTTCACTTTAAAATAAATGTGGAGTCAATATTGCTAACAATGTGACAATGGTAAAACATTTCTGTTTTAAATTAAAGTAAAATACAGAGTATATAAAATATATATATATTGGAAGCACTGTCATGGACCATCCCAGTACCACACACACAAGGTTTAGTACGTATTTGTCTTAATGGTCAAGTTATATCTAATTGTAAACTGGGTGGTTTGAGCCCTGAATGCTGATTGGCTGACAGCCGTGGTATATCAGACCGTATACCACGGGTATGACAATACATTTATTTTTACTGTTCTAATTACGTTTGTAACCAGTTTATAATAGCAATAAGTCACCTCGGGGGTTTGTGGTATATGGCCAATATACCACGGCTATTGGCTGTATCCAGGCACTCAGCGTTGCGTCATGCTTAAGAACAGCCCTTAGCCATGGTATATTGGTGATATACCACACCCCCTCGGGCCTTATTGCTTAATTATACCATGGCATTGTTGAATACCTGTTTCTGATTGGCTTGAAGGGCATTCTAGAACGTGCATTATTTCCTTATAACGCACGGAATCTTTGCATGGTACAATTCAATGGCTATAGTTCATTCTTACATGTGCTATGTTTGAGCTGCTTTTGAAAGCAAAAGTCGAACTGAAAGCATTATTGGCATTGTTGAATTCGATTTTCATAATAGCAAGCTAGGACTGATGGTTCGGTTAGCTGAACTAGCAAGTCTGTTTGTTTGGTTACCAAGGCAACTACTGTCACTAGCTAGTAATCTTGCTAGCTACTTCAGTTGATGTTGAACACATTTCTACCTGCAAATGAACACATTTCTAGCTGTAAATGTGCTAAATTATAGCCACGGTATAAAAGGGATAATCAACTCAGGACTATGCGTTCTCAGGAAAATAATGCAACTCCGTGGAAGGTTAGTTCCACTGCACACCTTCCACGTCGTTCATTATTTTCAAGAGAACACATAACCCATCGTTGATTATCCCTTACATATTTATCAAAGCAGACTGGCTAAATGATTGATCCTACTTAGTCCATGTAATGGGAAGTCATTACTAACCATAGCGTGTGTAATCCTCTTAAAGAACAGTCCTCATAAGAAATTGTGTTAAATCACACAAGCTTCACAAATACATAACATGTGTTTTTGTCTGTTCAGCATGTACAGGGGTTAGTATGTGATTTACAGTACAATCCTTTATGCTTATCCAGTAGTAGATTTGTGGTAAAGTTGACAATGAAAAATACATTTCTATTTTGAAAGTGATATATATGCACAGCAGTGGAATGTCATAGTTAAAGATAAGAGATATTGGGACTTAGATTAAGTTCAAAATAAATAAAGGACAGCTATTCAGGTGTTTAAATGTCATCCCTAAAATTGCACTGTATTGTTTGTGGTTGGTTGTCTGTCTGCTTGTCCATGTACATGCAAGTATGCTTTAAGGAAATGAGGATCCATTTTGTGACTGCTGTATGTGAAAACACTCACATCCTTTTTACTGTGGTTTCCCACACTGTATACTGCATGCAAATCGAGGCTAAATGCATTTGCTGCATGAATGTGATTGACAGAATTCAATATCTAGTTATCAAATAAAATGAACTAGAATACAAGTCGTGTAATGAATTCTCTAAATGATTGCCAATAATAAAAAAAAAAAACTCACCAAGAGTATTCAATATCAATTTTGTAAATAAACTCTCGTTGGGTCTTTACTTGACTCCAGTCATCCTTTTTTCAAAACTAAATCATAAAAATAAATTCATTACTTTACTCATGATTAACAGTAATGGTTTCAATACATTGTCATATACGACATATGAGGCTGAATTTCTTTTCATTATTTTGGGATTTAAACAATATTTACCATAGCCATGTAACTAGCTATGGTTTCCTCTCTCCTAACACCTAAATAAAAAGCTACGTTCTATAAAGATAAATCATGCATACACAACAAGAGTAATCAGCATGCAATTAGACCTATAATATACTAGCACAAGGTGAAATATAATCAAAATGTCTTGCCTCTTAAGAAAAGCAAGCCGCGAAAACATAGTTTAACAAATTCATATCAGTCAGGAAATGCTGATGGAAAAAAAGAGTGATGTCCATGTTAGGGGGGAAAAAAAATAATGTGGCTGCCATTCAGAATTCTATAATTATTGTAATTCATCACAAGAGTAAAATATTTGCTGTTTCTCAGTCTCTTGGTTTAAAAACAAGAGCTTTTCATAATTGAATATTTGTCACACATATGCGAAGGTGCTTTAATAGCTACATTTCATTTCATATTTCTAAGTCGATATACTGTAATATCTTCTGCTGTGACATTGGGTCTACTATATTTGTGGTCAGATGACTTGTCATCCCGAACGGTTTTTGTCTATTGTTTTTGTCTATATATATATATATATATATATATATATATATATATATATATTTATTTTTTCTTTCTTTCTTCTTCACATTACTTCAAAATAAAACCCCAAACTTAAGTACATATTACAATCAGAGTCCACACTCCATTCCTCATCACAAGGGCTTCTGTATCTGTGTGTTTCATTCATTCTAATTAATTTCATTCAATGCAACATCATCCTCAACTTCTTCCTTCAGCATCTCTATCCTTGTCTAGCTACTCAATAGCAACTTGATGCCTCCAGTCCCTACATACTTCGGTCTTCGACATTCCAGGTCAATACTAGAATGTACCCAATACACAAATTGTAGCATTTCCAGCTTTCACATTATTCACAAAAAGGTGCTTTGCCCACCACCTGGTCGGGCCCAGAAGCATTTAAACTATTTGAAGCCATTGCTGGTGAAATAAACAACACTATTTTTGTGTGTATAATGTGAAAGCTGTTTAATGCCTCTCCCAATACCATTCAACAGTCCAATACAAGTCCTTCTTGCCACTGCTTGTGGCTAGACGCTAGCTTAGCCAGTACTAGCCCTAACACGCCACCACACCTTCTCATTAGCATTCCAGGCCGATGGTGGAGAGCAGCTGATCCAGGGCGTCCAGCTTCACGTTGGCCTCCTCGATGGCGCTGAAGGTCTGGACGTTGCTGGTGATGTGGAAGCGGATGTCGTCCACCAGAGGGATGGAGTCTGTTTCGTGTCGGTCCTCCACCGCCCCAGCATCCTCCTTGATCATGTCAGCAAACTCAGGCTGCTCTACCAGCTGTTGAGGAGAGGGGGCCAGGGGGAGAGGGTAGAGGTCAGAGTTCAGATGGGACACAGCAAAGACCATCCTTGCACTGCCTATAATGACAGACACTCACCCTCTCTATGATCTTGGCCATGTACTCCGTGCACTGGTCCTCCAGACGAGATAGTCTGAAGAGCTTGGCCGTCTTCCACATGTGCAACACGTTGTCCTCACACAGCATCTTGGCCAGCGTCTTACCACATAGACGCTTCAGCCCGGGGAGCAGGTACATATCAGCCACACACAGCACATCAAACACATTCTCTGGGGACAGCTGGACACAGGCAGAGAGAGAGAGAGAAAGAGAATAACAATGGGTAAGACAAGACTCTGGTGAGTTCAGAGAAACACTAGAAATATCATCACTGCAGGAATTCTGCCTGAACTGACCTCCGTGTCGTCGCTGTAGACATAATAGAGGAGACGGATAAAGATCTCGTGGGAGATGTTGTGGATGGTGAGGACTGGGGTGCTGGGCTGGGACTGCAGCATCTCTCCCTCACTGAAGTGGTCCTGCAGCAGCGCCTTAAAATAGTCACTGCGTCCACAGAAAAACGCCTGTCCAGAGGGAATAAAGACAACTCGCTTAGCCCCTTGTAATTAACGGAGGAGATGCATAATTAATGACTAATTCCAATGTCATAGCCTGACGATAAACTAATCTAGCTTTGTACTTTGTTAGAGGTATGTGGTGCACACCTTATGACACAGGAAGTCATAACCTTCAACCCTGAAGCAAATGTCAGGGTAGCTAGGGAAGTTGTCAGTTCTGTCAAATGGAAGCTCGCCAAATCCCACCTACAGAAAAACAAAAATGACAAAGATCCTTGACAATTCACTTATTATGAACAAAAGGTTTCTTTACATCAAGTGATAATCATAGGTGGCAACCTTTAATATGATTGTAATTAGCTGGTCCCAGATCTGTTCAGTATGTGCTTTAGCCAACGCCTCTGACTATTCTTGCCATGCTAACAATGAGTCAGAAGAGTTGCCTAAATCCCAAACGATGTGGGACCAGGCTAGTTTGTAATGTTCTTACTTTTAGCTCAGCAGGGAGGGCACAGTCTGCCAGTTGAGCCATCTCCTCCTGATGCTGACAGCTGTGAGGCTCCAGGGTCAGAACCTTAACACAAGTCCCTGGCTTATTGGAGACTATGCATAGAGGCAGACACAGAGAGGCAGGTGAGAAACCATGTCACAATGTAAATGTGTAGGCCTAATTTCAGGAGATTTGAGAAGAGGGAGCTTACCAAACTCATACACCTGTTTACACTTGCTCTCCAACTCATCAATAAGGTCGCCCATTTTGCACTGTTTGGCCAGCCGCTTGCAGTCCTCCACATGGCTCACATCAATGTCCATACGACCTGGAAGCGAAAGCCGGTTAGCTCATAGCTTTGTAACACCAAATTTAGGCTACACAACTTTGAAAGAAATGTCTTAAAAGTGTGTCCTGGCTCTTTATGATGAAGCAGCAAACAGTGGATAGAAATAACTTCTTTTCTTTCTGTTTGGCCTTTTTATGTCATGTTAGACTTTATGGATTCTACGTCATCACTTCTTTAGAGAAAGACTGAAAATCCCCTAATCTTCTGACTGGAAGGAAACATACATTTCAGTAAGCCATCAATCAAGGATGAGCTTGTACGTAGTCCTCAGGCATCCTTTACAATCACTGGGATGACTATGACATATTTAGACATCTTTGAATGCAAAATGCAATTTTACATACTGCACGTTTGCCTCATCTTAAAGCAAATGTCAACATGTCTAATGTCACAAATGAACATAATTGAAGTTGAAATCTTAGCCTAATTCTGCATTTATCCATCTAGTTATACACCCCAACCAATAGAAACCCACCAGTGTAAAAATACTGCAGGATGGCACCAAAGGCTGCAGGGTTGATCTGAAACAGGGTGAAAAAAAAAAGTGTTTTTTCTTAATCAATATGGATAATTTACTGTGTTTACACTGTTACTTTAGATTCCCTTTTGGACCAGTGAATGTTTTGGTAACATTTTATGCATACAGCCCTGATTCAGTTTGTTTCAGTAAGAATTTCTGTGGAGACAATCTTTCTAGTACATACTTCATACAATTCCTGTATCAAATGCTTTGCAATTGTGCTTGTTATAATGACTCCTAACGCAATAACAAGGTAAATAGCATATTATAAAGTAAAGTTTAACAACATTTTTATAAATGACCTCATAAATATAGCAGCCCCCCCCCCGGTCCAATCCAACATAATGCTGTCATACCTATCTGAAAGAGGTGGTGCAATACAACACCTACCAAAGGGTGTTTGAGGGGAATCAAGTTCTTTCCTTTCCATTTGGTTTCAAACATGGCTGTGAAGTACTCTGAGCGAGCGCTCAGCACACAGCGGTGAGCCTGAAATGTCTCACCGTGAACCAGGAACTTGACGTCACTATACTGGCCCTGCTCCAGTAACCTATATACAGACAGAAGGGGAGGACAGGGACAAAGCAGGGCCAAGTGAGTGTTGATGTTAGAGTTTCTAAGCAGACAAACAGAAGTACAGGCAACACAGAATAAGGAAAACACAAAGCTAACGGCTATAAAACATTATGATGCAGTTAAGATGCATCGTAACGTTACAGCGCCTTACGTGAGCAGGAAGTGGTCATAATAGTCCCTCTGCATGGCTTGGGCTGTGATGCACTTGTACTCTTTTAGGAGACGTCGGATGGAGTCACTCAGAGAGCCATACATGCATCGCTCTCCATCAAATGTGTTGGCTTCACACTTCGCTCCTGAAAGCCCACATGGAAAACATAGCGTACAGGTCACCTCCAAGACACTATTAATTGCATATAGGATCCAGTGCATTCAGAAAGTATTCAGACCCCATGACTTATTCCACATTTTGTTACTTTACAGCCTTATTCTAAAATTGATTAAATAATTGTTTCTCCTCATCAATCTACACACAATAACCCATAACGACAAAGCGAAAACCGGTTTTTAGAAAGTTTTGCAAATGTATTAAAATTAAAAAACAGAAATACCTTACTTACATAAGTATTCTTTGATAGGAAACTCGAAATTGAGCTCAGGTGCTGTTTCCATTGGGGCGGCAGGTAGCTTAGTGGTTAAGAGCGTTGTGGCAGTAACCGAAAGGTCGCTGGTTCTAATCCCTGAGCCGACTAGGTGAAAAATCTGTCGATGTGCCCTTGAGCAAGGCACTTAACCCTAATTGCTCCTGTAAGTCGCTCTGGATAAGAGCGTCTGCTAAATGACTAAAATGTAAAATGTAATTGATCATCCTTGAGCTGTTTCTACAACATGATGTTTCTATTAAATTGATTGGACATGATTTGGAAAGGCACAAACTGAGCAATCGGGGGAGAAGGGCCTTGGTCTGGGAGGTGACCAAGAACCCGACGGTCACTCTGACAGAGTTCCTCTGTGGGGATGGGAGAACCTTCCAGAAGGACAACCATCTCTGCTGCACTCCACCAATCAAGCCTTTGTGGTAGAGTGGCCAGACGGAAGCCACTCCTCAGTAAAAGGCACATGACAGCCCGCTTGGAGTTTGCCAAAAGGCACCTAAAGGACTCTCAGACCATGAGAAACAAGATTCTCTGGTCTGATGAAACCAAGATTGAACTCTTTGGCCTGAATGCCAAGCGTCACGTCTGGAGGAAACCTGGCACCATCCCTATGGTGAAGCATGTTGGTGTGGGGAATGTTTTTCAGCGGCAGGGACTGGGAGACTAGTCAGGATCAATGGAAAGATGAACGGGGAAAAGTACAGAGATCCTTGATGAAAACCTGCTCCAGAGCGCTCAGGACCTCAGACTGGGGCAAAGGTTCACCTTCCAACAGGACAACGACCCTAAGCACACAGCCAAGACAACGCAGGAGTGGCTTCGGCACATGTCTCGGAATGTCCTTGTGTGGCCCGGACTTGAACCCGATCTAACATCTCTGGAGAGACCTGAAAATAGCCTTGCAGTGACACTCCCCATCCAACCTGACAGAGCTTGAGAGGATCTGCCGAGAAGAATGGGCGAAACTACCCAAATACAGGTGTGCCAAGCTTATTCATCAATAAGTGCATCGATGATGTCGTCCCCACAGTGACCGTACGTACATACCCCAACCAGAAGCCATGGATTACAGGAAACATCCGCACTGAGCTAAAGGGTAGAGCTGCCGCTTTCAAGGAGCGGGACTCTAACCCGGACGCTTATAAGAAATCCCGCTATGCCCTCCGACGAACCATCAAACAGGCAAAGAGTCAATACAGGACTAAGATTGAATCGTACTACACCGGCTCTGACGCTCGTCGGATGTGGCAGGGCTTGAAAACTATTACAGACTACAAAGGGAAGCAGAGCCGCGAGCTTCCCAGTGACACAAGCCTACCAGACGAGCTAAACCACTTCTATGCTCGCTTCGAGGCAAGCAACACTGAAGCATGCATGAGAGCACCAGCTGTTCCGGATGACTATGTGATCACGCTCTCCGTAGCCGATGTGAGTAAGACTTTTAAGCAGGTCAACATTCACAAGGCCGCAGGGCCAGACGGATTACCAGGACGTGTACTCCGAGCATGTGCTGACCAACTGGCAAGTGTCTTCACTGACATTTTCAACATGTCCCTGACTGAGTCTGTAATACCAACATGTTTCAAGCAGACCACCATAGTCCCCGTGCCCAAGGACACTAAGATAACCTGCCTAAATGACTACCGACCCGTAGCACTGACATCTGTAGCCATAAAGTGCTTTGAAAGGCTGGTCATGGCTCACATCAACACCATTATCCCAGAAACCCTAGACCCAATCCAATTTGCATACCGCCCCAACAGATCCACAGATGATGCAATCTCTATTGCACTCCACACTGCCCTTTCCCACCTGGACAAGAGGAACACCTACATGAGAATGCTATTCATTGACTACAGCTCAGCATTCAACACCATAGTGCCCTCAAAGCTCATCACTAAGCTAAGGATCTTGGGACTAAACACCTCCCTCTGCAACTGGATCCTGGACTTCCTGACGGGCCGTCCCCAGGTGGTAAGGGTAGGTAACAACACATCTGCCACCAGTGGCGGCTCCTGAAAAAATTCTCAGGGGGGGCAATTTTTCTGATGATTTAGGTGACCTACACACATTTTAAAAAAGATATGTCCAGCAACAACATGAAGACAGGGGCAGCATATAAGTCAATACTGATATACACATTACTTGCTTCAAAAAGGCCTCATGGTTGAATTGGAAATATGTGCACCTGAGCATAATTCACAACAAGCAAGCAGGAGCTTTTGATAGAGGCTACTGAAAACATTGATGCAAGTTATTGGTAATAAGAAATTTTTAGAGACTTCCATATTCTGCCCTCTTGTATAGATTTGTGAAAATGAACAGTGATAGACATTTTGCCTGAAAACAGAATTTGAAAATAATTTATAGAAAAGGTAAACACAGCTATCTGTATGGCTTTGTAAAAATGAACAACCATATTTTGGCCAATTGTATAGATTTGTAAATATGAACAACCATATTCTGGCCAATTGTATAGATTTGTAAAAATGAACATGAACAGATTTTTATTTTATTTTTACTTTAAAAAAAATGAAAAATAACTATTTTAAACAACATCAACTGTGAACTGATTTGGGCGTGTGTGTGTTAAAGAGACAGACAGGGAGGGACAAAGAGAGAGAGAGGCTACATTACTTGTACTGAAACTGTTCTAGCTTGCTGCATGATCAAATTCAGCTGATGCGCATAGCAATGCACGTAATGGGCATTCTTGAAATGCTCACGCACCTTTTGCTGCACACCAGCCTTCTCTCCCCTCATCACACTGGCTCCATCGTAAGCTTGCGCAATGAGTTTGACTTTCTCGTCGACGGCAAAAAGACCGTTCAGTCTCTCCAAAAGCACACTGGCGATTGAGACTGAGGTTGATTCCGAGATGGGAAGGAACTCAAAAAAGCGCTCCTGCACTTTGTGGTTGCTATCTATGTACCTCAGCACAAGCACCAGCTGTGTCAGTGTAGAAACATCCGTGGTCTCGTCAGCTTGGATAGCTACGAAGTTTGCCGACTTCACCTCCTCCACAATATGTTCCCTCATGACCGCTAGCATACACTCCAGTAGCTCGTTTTGAATGGTCTTTGATGTGCCCTTGAAAACTTTAGCATTTTTAAGATGGTCATCAAACACCTCATCTAATTGTGCCACAAAGTTGACAAGTCCAAGAAAAATACCAGGGTTGGTGGAGCCCTCAGTTTCATCTTTGCCTCGCAAAGCTAGCCATCTTGACAGTTGTACGTGAATTGATTGACGCTGCTACCCGCTCTTTTCTTAGTTATGTTCATGGTTACTTATGTTACGTATGACGAAAGCGCGTAAGTGCAAGCCCTCCCGGAACCCATAGAGATTGTATTGAAAGCTCTGATATTTGAAAAAAAAAAGATTTTACATGATAGTCTATGAGAGACTCCTGGGCGATTTTCAACCTGACTGAAATCGCCCCAAAAGGGGCGGGGCCATTTGAAGCACGACTTTAGCCTGATTGGACATTTAGTGGCAGATCAGACGTCTAGATTAGAACACTGATAACTACTGTTGCCGTGATATAATTGATTAGAAAAAAAATCCCTTCCTTTTCCCGTTTGGCAGTGCGTCGCCCATATCGCCCTAATGAACACACCGCTCCTGTCTGCCACACTGATCCTCAACACGGGGGCCCCTCAGGGGTGCGTGCTCAGTCCCCTCCTGTACTCCCTGTTCACCCATGACTGCATGGCCAAGCACGACTCCAACACCATCATTAAGTTTTCCGACGACACAACAGTGGTAGGTCTGATCACCGACAACGATGAGACAGCCTATAGGGAGGTGGTCAGAGACCTGGCCGTGTGGTGCCAGGATAACAACCTCTCCCTCAACGTGACCAAGACAAAGGAAATGATTGTGGACTACAGGAAAAAAAAGAGGACTGAGCACGCCCCCATTCTCATCGACGGGGCTGTAGTGGAACAGGTTGAGAGCTTCAAGTTCCTTGGTGTCCACATCACCAACGAACTATCATGGTCCAAACACACCAAGACAGTCGTGAAGAGGGCACGACAAAGCCTATTCCCCCTCAGGAGACTGAAAAGATTTGGCATGGGTCCTCAGATCCTCCAAAAATTCTACAGCTGCACCATCGAGAGCATCCTGACTGGTTGCATCACCGCCTGGTATGGCAACTGCTTGGCCTCCGACCGCAAGGCACTACAGAGGGTAGTGCGTACGGCCCAGTACATCACTTGGGCCAAGCTTCCTGCCATCCAGGACCTCTATACCAGGCGGTGTCAGAGGAAGGCCCTCAAAATTGTCAAAGACTCCAGCCACCCTAGTCATAGACCGTTCTCTCTGCTACCGCACGGCAAGCGGTACCGGAGTGCCAAGTCTAGGTCCAAAAGACTTCTCAACAACTTCTACCCCCAAGCCATAAGACTCCTGAACAGCTAATCATGGCTACCCGGACTATTTGCATTGCCCACCCACCCAATCTTTTTACGCTGCTGCTACTCTGTTAATTATTTATGCATAGTCACTTTAACTCTACCCACATGTACATATTACTTCAACTACCTCAATTAGCCGGTGCCCCCGCACATTGACTCTGCACCGGTACCCCCCCTGTATATATAGCCTCCCTACTGTCATTTTATTTTACTTCTGCTCTTTTTTCTCAACACTTTTTGTTGTTGTTTTATTTTACTTTTTTATTAAAAATAAATGCACTGTTGGTTAAGGGCTGTAAGTAAGCATTTCACTGTAATGTCTGCACGTGTTGTATTCGGCGCATGTGGCCAATAAAATTTGATTTGACTTGATTTAGTGTCATACCCAAGAAGACTTGAGGCTGTAATCGCTGCCAAAGGTGCTTCAACAAAGTACTGAGTAAAGGGTCTGAATACTTATGTAAATGTGATATTTCAGTTGTAAAAATGGTAATAAACCTGTTTTTGCTTTGTCATTATGGGATATTGTCTGTTGATTGATGAGGGGAAAAAACTACTTAATCAATTTTAGAATAAGGCTGTAACGTAACAAAATGTGAAAAAAGTCAAATGGTCTGAATACTTTCCGAATGCACTGTATAGCCTAGTGCGAGTTGCAGGAAAACATATGTTTAAGGGCACCTAACAAGATCCCCCACAAGCCCTGTCTTTAAACCTTGTTAAATGTGCTTTGACCCTTGGTGCAAATTCCAGCTTTACCATTAGCCAACAGGTACTGGACCAGCTCCTCATGGCCACAGAGGCAAGAATAGTACCTGTGGAAAATTAATACATTGTTTAATTACATTACATTCTTAACAATTATCTTGTCAAATATATTGTGTGCAGGCTACATTCCACAAGATTAACTCCATACTTACAACGGGGTGCTGTCCCATTTGTCTCTTACATTGAGGTCCACGTCTCTCTGTTCAACAAGATACCTTCACAGAAAAATGGAAAGTCATTAGGCCGATACTGGCAGTTAAGATAGTTTCTACCATAACCTCTCTTCACCTTAATGCTGGTCTCTACATGTTCACATTCCACACAAACAGTACAACGCTAACTGTAGAAGCATTCCAAATTCTAGACTATGTCAAACTACTTTTGGTGTTTGATTTAACATAAATTGTCACCATACAGCCTACTTTAGAGGAATAGTGTTGCTATTGCAGTCTTCACTGTAATAAATATGAGAGGAGTTTTGAGAGCGACCTACTTACATTTGTATATCAGTCACACAAAAGGTAAAAATTAAAAGTTAAACGTTTCCAGGTTGGAAGTTGCCAGATATGTGCGCAGAATAAACAAGAGTTGCATTGTGTTTATAGTTTATAATAAGTCTACTAGCTAAACCTACTTTCCTGCACATAAACAGAACCTAATAGTAATACCAAAACACACAATAAACACTATCGCCACTGGCATGACTTCAAAGGACACAACAGACCATCTCAAATAGCATAGCGTATGCTAACATAGCCAATATAATATTCACACTAACGTTAGCACACTGACAAATTTGCTAAATATTTCTAACACTACTACTGACCACAAGGTTGTCTTTGTTGTTTATAGCTAAACAAGCTAGACTTCCTCATCGTGCTACTGCAAACTACGCATTTCTATTCCACAGACTCCATTTACCTAACTCTGGAAATGTCGCCCTTTCTGCAACTTGTAAACAAATCGTACGCGTCCATCTCCGCAGCGTTTTCGGTTCTCTGTAATGCATTGAAACGGCCTGCCTGTTAGACAGGTGTGGATCCAGTTATAATTTCCTGTAAAGTGTAAACAAGTTGTTTTGCTAGCTAGTTCTTTCTTACAGTGCAACTATTTACAGATATATATTTCGATCGTCAGTATTTTACGGTTTATATAGTCACATGACCAGAGAAGGTGGAGCGAGATGACATGCACTTCCGTATGACCTCTTCTCTGAGTGGTCGACTAAACCACGGGTCTAGGATCAGATTATTATCACATCCATAATCCTTACCAAGGGGCCAGGGTTCGGTCTAGAATCACGGTTTCGACTGCTCCTACAGTTTTGCTTCGGTACTGTAACTATCACCCGGCCCAAAAAGTAAATTACCAAACATGGCCTCATAGAGTTCAGATTATAAAATTCCTAATAAGACACTTTAAATCAAATCAAATCAAATTGTATTTATCACATGCGCTGAATACAACAGGTGAAACCTTACAGTGAAATGCTTACTTACATTTTTAGTCATTTAGCAGACGCTCTTATCCAGAGCGACTTACAATTAGTGAGTGCATACATTTTTCATACTGGCCCCCCAACTATGCAATTTTAAGAAAGAATACCACAAAAATACCCCCCCAAAATTAAATAACAAAATGCAAATGCAAATAGTCTGTGTAGCCATTTGATTAGATGTTCAGGAGTCTTGTGGCTTGGGGGTAGAAGCTGTTGAGAAGCCTCTTGGACCTAGACTTGGGGCTCCGGTACCGGTTACCGTGCGGTAGCAGAGAGAACAGTCTATGACTAGGGTGGCTGGAGTCTTTGACAATTTTTAGGGCCTTTCTCTGACACCGCCTGGTATAGAGGTCCTGGATGGCAGAAAGCTTGGCCCCAGTGATGTACTGGGCCGTACGCACTACCCCTCTGTAGTGCCTTGCGGTCGGAGGCCGAGCAGTTGCCATACCAGGCAGTGATGCAACCAGTCAGGATGCTCTTGATGGTGCAGCTGTAGATCTGAGGACCAATGCCAAATATTTTCAGTCTCCTTAGGGGGAATAGGTTTTGTTGTGCCCTCTACACGACTGTCTTGGTGTGCTTGGACCATGTTAGTTTGTTGGTGATGTGGACACCAATGAACTTGAAGCTCTCAACCTGCTCCACTTCAGCCCCGTCGATGAGAATGGGGGCGTGCTCAGTCCTCTTCTTTTTCCTGTAGTCCACAATCATCTCCTTTGTCTTGATCATGTTGAGGGAGAGGTTGTTGTCTTGGCACCACAGAGCCAGGTCTCTGACCTCCTCCCTATAGGCTGTCTCGTCATTGTCGGTGATCAGGCCTACCACTGTTGTGTCATCGGCAAACTTAATGATTGTGCTGGAGTCGTGCCTGACCCCGGCCACTAGGAGCGCCACCTCTGGATGAGCGTTTTCCTGTTTGCTTATGGCCGTATACAATTCATTGAGTGCAGTCTTAGTGCCAGCATCGGTTTGTGGTGGTAAATAGACAGCTACGAAGAATATAGATGAAAACTCTGTTTGTAGATAGTGTGGTCTACAGTTTATCATGAGAAACTCTACCTCAGGCAAGCAAAACCTTGAGACTTCCTTAGGTATTGTGCACCAGCTGTTGTTTGCAAATATAAATAGACCTCCACCCCTTGTTTTACCAGAGGCTGCTGTTCTATCCTGCCGATACAGTGTATAACCCGCCAGCTGTATGTTATTCATGTCGTTGTTCAGCCACAACTCGGTGAAACATAAGATATTACAGTTTTTAATGTCCCGTTGGTAGCATATACGTGCTTGTAGTTCGTCCACTTTATTATCAAGCGATTGTATGTTGGCCAATAGTATCGATGGCAATGGCAGATTAGCCACTCATCGCCAACTCCTTACCAGGCACCCCGATACCCTTCCACGATATCTCCTTTTCTTTCTACTGCGAATGACGGGGATGAGAGCCCTGTCGGGTGTCTGGAGCCAATCCCTCTCGTTCGACTCATTAAAGAAAAATTATTAGTCCAGTTCAAGGTGAGTAATCGCTGTTCTGATGTCCAGAAGCTCTTTTCGGTCATAAGAGACGGTAGCAGCAACATTATGTACAAAATAAGTTACAAACATTGCGAAAAAAACTAACAAAATAGCACTGTTGGTTAAGAGTCCATAAAACGGCAGCCATCCCCTCCGGCGCCATTCTCCATTCTCTTTAGTCATCACCTTTGTGCACAAAACATCCATTTAATTATTCAAATAATTGTAGCAGAGGCCGTTTATTTTCTTCATTACTCACAGCCGAAGATATTAACATTTTATATTAATCCAATGTCTGCCATGTTTTTGGATGATGACCTGATGACGGCATCGTTGCTGCTTGCGCTGCTCCCTGTTGCTGCGTTCATATGATAGTCGGAACTAGAAAACTCTGAAATGTTCGACTTGCTAACTGGTTGAACACGGCAGGTGTATAACTACAAACAGTTAGCAAGTCGTTTCCTAGTTCTGACTTGCACTTGATTTGCTGTGCGCACATGTGATGTTGGTCAGTATAAACCGGATGCAACCCGGATATAGATGGTCCATGAATCGGTATGCCAACATGAGTAGATTACCTTGAAAACAACAGGCGGACATCTTTGACTCAGTCTCCAGTTTTTATTTTACCTCAGTGATCCTTACTCATTGGAGGTTGCAGCACCTTAATTGGGGAGGACTGGCTCGTGGTAATGGCTGGAGCGGAATGGTTTCCATGTGTTTAATGCCATTCCATTTGCTCCGTTCCAGCCATTATTATGAGCCGTCCTCCCCTCAGCAGGCTCCACTGTCCTTACCCTAACTATTGGGGTGATGAAAAGTGTGTTCAAGCAGTAAGCCTAATGAAGCCGACTGTTGATGAAAGTCGGCGAGTGAAGTCGGGGGAGGTGCATCTGCGAAAGCCTAAAGTCGTACACTGTAGTGGTTTTCCAACAATAAGGCTCAGATCAACATGGCTGCTATTGTCTATTGAAGTTTTTCTGTATAAATGTCTAAATAAACGTTTCTATACCCCCATATCACACACTCACAAACTGAAAACTTAATGTGTGTACAATGAATTGGTTAGAGAGAGGTCTCAAATATGACTTTCATTTGTATACCCTGTAGCTTTAGAATCGCGGCAAAGTTGATTCCTGTTTAAGTCACGTCTTTGGCCACGTCAGCGTGGGTCAAACAAAAACACCCTAATGATTGGTTGACAAATACTGCCTCCCACAATGCAGGTGATGGCTGCATGGTAGTTGGTGAGAAGCAACTGCAGCGACTTGAAAGCGACTTCATCAAAAACTGCATGACCTTTGGTCACATGATTTTTGTAAAGTTCATGCAGTCAACATGTAGTCGCAAGTCGGACAATTTTTCTAACCATAATGCAACACACTTTGAAAGGCAGTGACCAACGATGGTCAACGACTTGACAAAAGTCCTCCCCTGGAACGAGCCCCCTGGTTAGGGTAACTTCTTCCACCCACCATGACACCATTTGATCAAAGACAGTACAGTATGAAGATAGGCAGAAACTGCTTCTCCAATAGAAATCCCTGATCACGCTTGTAGGCGATGTCATGGTGACGTTGGCTAGATAAGCTCATGCGCAGAAACACGCCATCGGGTCTAATGGTCATCTCGCGTCGAACTGCGCATGTGCAGGCCAATAAATATTAAAGGAACTCCTTCAATATAAAGTTGTTTTTGAGTTTGTCACTTTCACAAGGTTGGAGTAATAACGTGTTCAGCTACTTAAGACATTGGCTCAAACAAGTGACCCTCCCCTATACCCAAAATAATAATCAAAACAAAGTGGATAGCAGAAAACATGTCTACCATTTACCCTCACTTCTTGGACAGACCAGAGCCTTAGCTATGCAGTTTTAGAAACTGTTTATCGTCCTGTAAGTATTACATGGCAACGCAGAAATGTTGATAGCTCACAGGATTGTGGGCCAGAAGATTGTGGGTTTGCAGACCAGCGTGGACAAGAGTAGGAGTGGAAAGATCTTTATAGTAAAAGCTTTGCATGAATCTATCATCGTATTTGCAGGTCCGGGAAAAAAATGACTTTTATAAAAATGTCATGCAATTCTACGTCATTTTACATATTAGCAGAATATTTTAATAGCACACAAATTACCGACATTACAGGCTAAGAATGGACAAAGAGATTGGCCTATGTGTTCATCTTATCATATTTCTCTAATGCCAAATCAGTGTGTATTGTTTGCAACGAAACTGTCCCTGTTTGCAAATAATTAAATCTGTGACGACATTAGGAATCTCAGCATGGTACTCTCAAAAGTTAGGCCTACCAACACAGAAAAATGTAAGCTTTAACTGCTGGCTACTCTTCTTCCGTGGTTTAACCCGAGAGAAGGTCACAAGTGTTTCCATAAAAGCTGTCTGGGTTTAAACATCTTCTATTGTACAGAAAGTTAATATCTTAATCAATTGGTAGTGACAGAATTAGATGACTTCCCAAGCAAAGTCTAGTTTTTGTCTCCTCGGCTATAGAAGTTTGTAGCTCAGCCTCTGAATGTCAAAGAAACTAAACAATGATATTCCCATATGCATTGGTGTCACGTCTTCCCGGGTATTTTACAGCTTGTTTCTAGCATAAAGCATTGCGGACCAAAGCACTGTTATAGATCATTTTACATAGTCGGATCGGTTTTATTTTCTTCAAAACCTTCTGCTAACAAGGAGTAGGCCTGTGCTTTCGGCATACCTTCTCATACCCCTCAATTCAACTCTTGGTTTTAACTTAACAGCCCTTCACTGACACTGAGGTAGGCTATTTAATTAAAGAGTGCATGGTGGGTGGAGGAATTGACTGACAAATCTATCGATATAGCAGCCTTTAGCCTAAATACGTCTGTCAAACAGGTAGGTCTACCTCTTATTTCTTTCATAGGAAGAAATAGGCTCCAACATAAAGTCTAATTTAAATGAAAACTGTTTAAATTAATTATGCCTACTTGAATTTTCCTACTTTCAGCACCATGAGCTGTCCATTTCTGATTGATTGTGCTGCAGCTGCTGCTTCAAGTTTCAACACCACAATGTAAGTTGAATCTGTCTTATTGTGAGGTCAATAACTCTGATAAATACATCATGGGCAAGAAACATATGATTTTTTACAAAATCAACTATAGTAGTAGC